CAGCGCCCCCGAAGATCACCTTGATCTCCAACTTCTTTTTCCCGCCCTTCGGGCCGAGGGATCCCTCCGGACGTTTATCTGCACTTCGATAATCCACGTCCTGAGGTTCTGCCTCGCGCCGATCGTCGCGGCGCCATGTCTTGTGCCTTGAGTTCGGCTTCTGCTGGCTGTTTTTGTTCAGCAGCTGGGCGAACTCGCCCAGGTACCCCTGACGGATCAGCTCGTCGATCGCTTTCTTTAATTGGCTGCAATTATCCGTCAGGTGGCCGGTCCTCTGATGGTATTCACAGTAGGCCGATTGGTCGTGCCCCATATACCTCTTCATATCTTGGGGCTCCATAAGGAGGCCCTTGTCCTTAATGGCCTCGAAGATCTGGCTCACTGGGTAGGCCAAGGGAAAATAACGGTCGTCCGGCCGCGCTTGGCTGTCTCCGGACGGAGCCTTCCAAGGGACCATTGCCCCGTCCACCTTCTTCTTTTTGTTTGGGGGGGAGGGATTGGTTCCTGATCCGGGTCCGAGTCTGTCTGCCATCTTCCGTGGCTGGGCCGCGGGAATTCCGTCCCGCTGCCTGATCTCCTCCTCAATGGAGGCATACTTCTGGGCCCGAGCAAGAACCTCGGTGTAGCTGGTGCCGGGATTCCTCCTTAGGTCCCGGTATAGATCCCCTGTGGCCAGCGCACTGGTGAACATGTTGGCGGCCAGACGTTCGTCCAGATCGTCGACCTGCAGGACCTCGTCCCTCCACCTTACCAGGAACCTAGCCAGCGGTTCGTCCCGCCCTTGTTTGATGTGGGCGAGAGCCGTGACGTCCTTCCTGGGGGTGGTGCTGGCAGCAAACTGCGCCATGAACTGCTGGGAGAGCTGTTCATATGAGTCGATGGTGCCTGGCCTCAGCTGGCCGAACCATTCTTGCGCCGGCCCCCTGAGGGTGCTGAAGAACAATCTGCAGATGGCCTCGTCTGATGCTCCCAGCATGGACAGGTTCCCTTGGTAGCTTATCAGATGGGCCTTGGGATCGCCAGCCCCATTGTACACCAAGTTGCCCGGGGGCCTGCAATCCCGGGGAATCTCGACGCTCATCACCCGTGGAGTAAAAGGTGATGTGAGAGAGAAGGAGGGTGTGGCCGAGCCGACGTCCGCCCGCCTATTCATCTCGGCTATCTGCCTCTCCATGGCTTCCAGCCGTGCGTCCTGTGCGGCCCTTCCGGGGGACACAGGGGGCGCGGCTTCGGGGACGGCGCTCTGCTGAGCGGCCACAGCATCGCGCGGCCGCCTAAAGATCTGCGTCCCTCGCCGTTGGAAACGTCGCCCAACGGTATTGATCCTTGGGGTCTCGTCCCCCCGCGGGATCTGGCGGGGGGCCGATGGCGTGTGAGCCCTGGACGCGGCAATGCTGGTCCTGGTTCGTCCTCCCGTTCCCTGGGAGCCGGAACCCTCGCCTAGCCGCTCGTGGACCGAGGGTCGATGATCGCTGGACCCCATCGTTTCATCATACGACTGCATGCGGCGAACGGGAGATAGGGGGGTTCGCTGGGTGCTTGCCGAGTACACTTGCTCTCGGGCTTCCCGTTCGTCCGCCAAACGGCGCATGGTGTCCGCCAGTTCCCGCATGAGGCGGGGATCCTGCCTGGCCTCAAGGGGAATGAGGTCGGTGATACCCCCGTTTCCCCCGGAGGTCCATATTGTTGCGGATCGTTCCGAGTTCTGGCCGCGATTCCGGCGGCTTGACTCCAGACGTTCGGAGAGATCACGCTGGTTGTGGCTTCCTGACATTGTGCTTGCTGTGGGTAGATTTGGTAGCTGTTTGGGAGAGTTTCTGGAAACTTTTTGCTCAGTTTCCCACAGACGGCGCCAGTGTTGAGGTTATTTCCTTCAACCCTTGGACCCAACACGTAAGCCCAAAGATTTCGAGTGGAGTGAGTGTGTGGTTATCTAGCCCGACAACTATCAGATGAATCAGGAAACAAGAGTAATAGCAGGCAATGTAAATAGGTATTATTAACTTCGTAATAACTCCCCTAAGTACAATCTACTTGCTAAAAAGGGCACGTCGGCCGTTCGTCTTACAAGGCGATAGGAATGCTACTCGTAAGAATGCTGGAGCTAGTATGCTAAGAATAGAAAGTTGCCAACCCTTTACAATGAAATAAATGCTTCTATTTATACCCGCCAATGGGCAGGTGGCTGTACTGACGTGGCAGCCTGTGGACCGCTGGTGTCCCAACTACCAAATCTTTAGCATTAAATGCACTTCCCGCCAGAATCTAGGTTTCCCGCCGGATCAGTGGGGACGTTCGTCCACCCCGGAAGTGAGTTGGATTGCTCCAAGTGACCCTTGAGGGATATCGGCTGTTCGTCACCATGTGCACTGGGTTTTCCCCGATGACCACAGGCTTGCTCCGGGGACGTTCGTCGCCATCCCCGCTGGCCCGTGGTTCTGCTCTTTGTCTCTGCACAGACGTTCGTCGGAATGAGCTGCTGGGCCTGAGTCCTCCAACACCAGACGTTCGTCCATCCTCAAGAGACATGGGCCTGTGGGCTGGCCTGGTTTCTAGCTGGACGTTCGTCTGGCAAAATGGGTTAGTGGGCCGGACCTCGGCTTGGGCCCTTAACCCAACACACGTTTTCTGTTTTCCTTTTTCAAGTTCTCCAATTTTCTACAAAACTGGAAAATATCTCTGTTATAAACAGACCCTTATATACTCCGAATATAGTAACCTTTTCATATTTCAATTTTACTTGAGTTTAGATAGTATCTTATCACGTCTTATATTTTCCATAAAAACTATGAAGTTCATTAAAAAACTAAGTACTTTGTCCATCTCATAAAAAAAATTCACTTATTTTTTTGGGGATGTTTTATTTTCTCATTTCTATTTTAGAAAATTTTATGTGACTAATATTTATTTACTTTTTTCTTATTCAATTACAATTACTTGGTATATATTTTTACTTTATATTAACTTTTTAAAATTCCGATTAAAATTAAATCGGGTAGAATTTTATCGCACGGAACAAGTACTACGTATATTATGACGTAGTAATAAGCACTCCGTATATTACTAATCAATATTGAAATATACAAAAAGTCAAAAGTAGCATTATAAAAGAACTAAGGTCTAGGAAGCACGGAAACTCTCCATGACTCACGCTTCCACATTTTGGAAACTTGGAAGCGTTTCGGAAACTCGGAAACTTCAAATTCCCGTTTCGGGGCCGTTTCCGTAATTAAGAAAAATTTGGAAACCTGTTTCACTACGTTTCGGAAACCTCGGATTCCATTTTTTTTCTTTTTCAAAAGATTCTGTGGTGGAAAATAATTTTTTATAGTGAATTTTTGTGGTATTTCTCAGAGGCAACACTTGTTACATTTCGTAACGCAATGTATTGGTAGAAATGTATTACTCCGTACATTTTATGTTTAATTATGTACTAATATCAAATAATATCTAAATTCGAACATGTAGAGTGATTTTATTATTTGATTACTAAACAAATTATATTAAAAAACATGTGCATATGGAAAAACTTGTGTACATATATTAAAAAATATTTATAAATATATCATTATATTTTATAATATTTACGCGTTTCTCCCACGTTTCGTGTCCTATATTTTTTAGAAATTACGTTTCTCCCGTTTCCCATTTCCCGTGTCCTAATATTTGAGGTTACTTTGAAAAACTATGCTCAACCTTGGAGTAAAAACCAACACATGTCTTAGAAGCTGTTCCGTTCGTCTTAATCTTATTACTTATTCCTTAATCTTATTTTATTCAGATCAGATCAGATCAGATCAGAAAGATTCAGATCAGATCAGATCAGATCAGAAAGATTCAGATCAGATCAGATCAGATCAGAAACATTCAGATCAGATCAGAAAGATTCAGATCAGATCAGCAACATTCAGATCAGATCAGAAAGATTCAGACCAGATCAGACCAGATCAGAAACATTCAGATCAGATCAGAAACATTCAGATCAGATCAGATCAGATCAGATCAAAAAATTCAAACATGATTTATCACTTTTATTAATATATTAATTATGATTATTATATTATAATTATTGTTAATAATATTAATATATTAATATAATAATATTATTAATAATATAATAATAATGTTAATAATATAAAATTATTATTATAATATAATATAATATAATATAATATAATATAATATAATATAATATAATATAATATAATATAATATAATATAATATAATATAATATAATATAATATAATATAATATAATATAATATAATATAATATAATATAATATAATATAATATAATATAATATAATATAATATAATATAATATAATATAATATAATATAATATAATATAATATAATATAATATAATATAATATAATATAATATAATATAATATAATATAATATAATATAATATAATATAATATAATATAATATAATATAATATAATATAATATAATATAATATAATATAATATAATATAATATAATATATTTATAATTATAATTATAATTATGATTTACAATGTAATTATAATTATAATCATCATTATTATTAATATGATTGTTGTTCTTGTTGTTATTGTTGTAATTATTATTACTTCGGAGTAATTATATATTTAAATTAGTAATTATAGATATAATTATGATTATAGAAATAAATATTATAATTATAATTAAAATAATAATTATAAAATTAATCATAATTAAAAATATAATTACATTTATAATTGTATCTGTACTTATAATTAGTGTAATTAGTATAATTATTATAATTTTAAATTTAATTTTAATTTTTTTTTTATAATTATGATTATAATTGTAATTTTATTTAAGTTATATTTTTAATTACAATTATAAATCTAATAATTATAATTATAATTACAATTATAGAAATATTCAAATCAGATCAGAAAGATTCAGATCAGAAGAATTCAGATCAGATCAGAAACTTTCAGATCAGATCAGAAACATTCAGATCAGATCAGCAACATTCAGATCAGTTCAGCAACATTCAGATCAGATCAGAAAGATTCAGATCAGATCAGAAAGATTCAGATCAGATCAGATCAGATCAGAAAGATTCAGATCAGATCAGATCAGATCAGAAAAATTCAGATCAGATCAGATCAGAACTTAAAAAATTCAGATCAGAAACATTCAGATCAGGTGAACGGAACAGCTTCTTAGTGCGACAATCGTACATTCGTACCTAACATAACATACAATTTTAATTTTAATTAATTGATAAAAGAAAATTTTAACCCCCTTCGAAGTACGGAATCCGTCATCATCTCATCCCCGCCGTGGCCGTCGTGTACTGGAATTGCCCTGATTTTTATTCTGATCCAGCCTCCCGATCTTCTCCGGTGGGCCGAGGTCAGATATTGACCCGGAATCCGCAGGCGGCCACATGGGTGACGAGTACCTGAAACTGTTCGTGGAGGAGACGACGTTTTACAACCGGGTTGTGCTGGGGACGCTCTTACCGAGAAATGTGCTGACCGACGTGCCTCACTTCCTTCAGGGGTGGCTCCGCAACTTCATCGGCGGAACCCTAGTTTATCTCTTCTCCGGCTTACTTTGGTGCTTCTACATTTACTACTTGAAGCGCCATGTTTACTTCCCTAAAGGTATCATTTTGTTCTTAATATTTTCTCTGATTATGAACTTCTAATTACAAATTAAATTCTTATACTCGAGTTTGTCGTTTGAGTTCGTGTTAATACTTAAATATTTCATATTAGAATTAGAATTCAACAATCTATGGCTTTATAAAGAAATATAGCCGGAGTATTTCTGTAGGAGTTAGTTTCTTCCCAAAATATGACTCATATGCTCATATTTTTTGGCAAATTTTAGAACTTTGCTTAGGTTTTTTCCTGTTTTGAGCAATTTTCTATAAAAAGAAAAGAAACAGTAGAAAGAGAGGGAGTATGAAGGTGTATCTTTCACGGAATAAGAAATGTTAATTATCAATTAATACTTCATATTTATACTCCGTATGAGTTTGTATCTTTATATACAATACTAGTGCCATTTTTAACAATAAATAGTCTCCAAGTTTCACTTTTTTGTTTAATTTGTATGGAATACATGGATTGAAATGACAGAGAGGATCCCAAGCAAGAAGGCAATGATGATGCAAATAGGAGTTGCAATGAAGGGAATGCCATTGTACTCGTTGTTACCCACGATATCAGAGTACATGATCGAGCGGGGGTGGACGAAATGCTTCCCCCGCATCAGCGACGTCGGATATCTCCATTACCTTCTCTACCTGATCGTTTACTTTGTCATCGTGGAATTCGGGATCTACTGGATGCACAGAGAGTTGCACGACATAAAACCTCTCTACAAATATCTGCACGCCACTCACCATATCTACAACAAGCAAGACACCCTCTCTCCCTTTGCCGGATTGGCTTTCAACCCTCTTGACGGGATATTACAGGCGGCCCCGCACGTGGCTGCGCTCTTCCTCGTACATACACACCTCCGAACGCATATAGCCTTGTTGTTTGTTGAGTGTGTTTGGACTACAAATATTCATGACTGTATAGATGGCAAGGTGTGGCCTGTAATGGGTGCTGCTTATCATTCCATTCACCATACCACCTATCGTCATAACTATGGCCACTTCACCATATGGATGGATTGGATGTTCGGAACTCTTCAGAAACCCAAATCCACCGACAAGTTCATCAAGAAGAAGAGCATGTGATTGAAACTCCCCATGGCATGGCTAAATCCATCTGTACTTGTCTTTTAAACCATGTTTTCTATATATGCATGTAAATCAAAGCTTTGCATTTCAACCAACAAAAAATTACGGAGCAATGTGGAACATTAACTTATACTACCTCCGTCCCCCTAAGTTTGGGACAAGAGAAGATGACACGGTTATTAATAAAAGTGGGTTTGTGTGGTTGATATTGAATTGATAAAGTAAGAATAAAGTAGGAATGATTTAGAACCACACAAACTTTACCAAATAAGGTATGAGACAATCTTAGTGGGACGAACCGAAATGGTAAAATGGGACAATCATAGCGGGACGGAGGGAGTAATGTTTATTAATTTCAGAATTCCATGTATGCTTTTCTTTCTCTATATTAATGCTCCTGCATTTTAAGTGACTGAAGCTTAATTGTCATGTGTTATGACCACAGATAGTATTGGACACTGTCCCTGTTCTTGACCTGGACTTGTTTTTTTAATGAAATCATACTGAGCAAGTCATCATGAACTGGATCTAGTACTGGTAACTGGTTATTTCATTGTCCGGCTCCTCTAAAATAAGATTGGAACATGTGGTTTTGTTACCATTTTTAAGCTTATAAAACCAGGGAGTAACTGAACCGGATCCGGAACCATATGTTCTGTGAGGACCTGAACCAGTAGGCAGTTATGGTTCCTACCCTAATCACATTATACTACTTTTATCTAACTAAGATCGGACTTTGGTTCATGATGAAGTAACATAATTATGAAGAAAAATGAAATTATATGATTGATATTGAATTTGTCAAGTATAATTAAAGTAGAAATGAATTAAAAATATACATTTTTTTAAGTTGAATTACCCAGAATAATGAAAGATGAGAGTAAAGATATAAAATAATAAAGAGTAAAAAGCACGGAGAGTACTCATTTTCTAGATTAACGAGATGCTCACAAGTCTTTGGTAACCTACTATCATTATTATACCATGTGATGGTCTACTAACCGTAGATTAGTAGGGAGGTAATATGCGATAAAAGAGATAGAGACATAAAGCAGGGGCCTTTTCCTATTAGGATAGAGGGCACAAAAGGTTGAAATCTACAGATGAACACGTAGGGGGTAAAATTAGGGGTGGACCCGGTCCGTCTTGGTCCAACCTGGCCCGACACTGTTAGGGACCGGACATGGTCCATTTAGAGTAGTTTGGTGCTTGGGACCGGACCTATCCACACTAGAGCAGTTCATGGTCCCAATTTACAATTTTGGAGACTGAACCGGCTAATTTTGAATCCCAGTTTTGGTCCCAATCCGTTTTCGTTTTTTTAGGCTTTGGGATGGCCAAAAACTAATAATAAATAAATAAACGAGAACTAAGTTCAGGATCGAGACCAAACCGCCTGGTACCCAAAACCGGCCCGGACACAGAAAAATGCGGTTTGGACCCCAAGCCCAAACTTTTTTTGGACCTGGCGGTCTCGGACTGGAACCGGGGCCGGACCGACCTAGGCCCATCCCTAGGTAAAATCATGCCACCATATCTTTCACTGGATGTTTAGAAACGTGCCATCCTTAGCCGATGAAGCCCTCAATGAAGGGGTAACACGGTCCTTGCAAAGACTAGGCCCTAGGGATGGACTGGGACGAGACCAGGCCAGACTTTGGGACGGGACCGGACGGGCTTGGGCATAAGGATTTCAGGCTCGGTACCAGCCCGGGTTTGTACCGGTACCAGGTCGGGCCAGGCTTCGAGGCGAGACTAGGCATTCAATAAAAAAATAGTGCAATCTGGCCCAGTCGGGCCCAAAAAGTCGAGACCGAAGCCCGCCCTTGTAGCCACTGAACCAGGCCCAGTCGGGCCCAAAAAATCGAGCCCGAAGCCCGCCCTTAAGCCCCCTTATTTGAACAAAGTTATAGTCACCACCATGTTATGTCTTGAGTTAAGTCTTGCGTATTGCTGCTTGAATACATTTTAGTCTCTAAAAGACATGATTTTTTTAGGTTTATCATGTCTCTAAAAGACATGATAAACCTAAAAATATGCTATTGAGAAGAAGCTCCAGATTTGAAACCAACAGGCTTGTACATAAGAAAGAAAAGGCACATTTAGGTGTACATGCAAAAGAAAAAGACAAGACAGAGAGCTACTGAGGCTCTGTTTGCAATCACTTAAAATAAGTGATTGTGGCTTTTTTCTAAGAAAAAAGCACTTATTTTTCCAAACATTACCAACTTTTACTTTCTCGGTTTTCGTGTAGAATCCACTTTTTACTTTTTCTATTACACAAAAAGCACTTATTTTACCAAACACTACCAACTTTTACTACTAACCACTTTTTCCCAAAAAGTGATTTTATTTAAGCACAAGCATTTGCAAACAAACCCTGAATGACATTTCTTGTACAATAAACTGTCATTTTTACATGAAAAGGGAAAGCAGGCATCTTATTTTCCATTTCAGCTTTACTTTCCATAATGAACATCGCATATCTCATCAGCAAGGGGCATTGAAAATAAAATAAAATAGAGACTTGCCTCTTCTCAGCAGCAAAACCACTCACCACACTAAGCCTTTTCTTCTCCTAAATCTGTCCACACGGTCCGTGCTCATCCGCGATTTTTCAGCTTTATTAGACTTCTTCGATTTCTCAAGTCGGCTATCCAAACTGTTTCTAGAAATTTCTGGAACATCGGAGCACAAATCAAACCTATCTGCAGCTGTAGGAGGAAGAGGAGGAGGACCATTTTCAGCTGATTTGGTCTGGTTTTCAGATTCGGATGATTCGGGTGGCTTTTGAGCAGATCCATTTGGAGTTGGCTTTGATTTCCCTAGACTCAGAACAAACTTCTTTAGGTGCTTGATGTACTCTGTATAAAGTTCAAGATTGCAGTGGCCTCCTCCATTTATCCATATAGGTTCATACTTTTCCTTACATAACTCCCATAGCTGCTTCCCATGGGAACAATCCACAACTTCATCTGATGTGCCCTATATTATAAAGAAAAAGGTGAATTCTCTTGTATAAGCAAATTTCCCGCACCAAAATGGTTAAGTTATCTCATACAGGCCAAATATACAAATTTAAAAAAGCATTATAATAATGTTGTAAACTACTTCTATCAACTCAACCTTTGAGGATTGAACCAAGTTTTAATACAGTTTTGAAGTCAATTAAGGTTAAAAGAGTAATTGATCCAACCCAGGAGCCGCTATATTTGGAGCCACAGTCTTGGGGGTACATGTTAAGTCATCATACTAGCTTTGTTAGGTTTATCACGATCGAATTACTCCTTTATGCTTAATCTGCTAAAAGATTATATACTAAAATGTCCATTTGATAAGAATAGGATCCTAATATCATATATATTGGCTCGTATTAATATTTAATCAATATAAGAAGACTTGACACTTCCACTACAAAAATGATGGGAATAAAGAATAATAATAATAATAGATCTAGAGCTTAGAAAGCCTTATATGTTGGAGCGTAATTTTGATTTACAAGGAAGCAGACTTACATGAATGACAAGAACTGGACACTTCACCATACTGATTTTGTCAACATTCTGAAATGGTTTAAAAGTCTTGCTGTTACGAGATGGCATATTGATGTGGTATTGTGGTTAATAAAAAAACACGCACAACAGCTTTTTACCTTGTAAATGTCAAACCAATACGTCTTCTTAACAGGGTACAAAACTCGGAGCCCAGATAATATCGGACTGTGCAAGACGACACCTCTCAAGTTCTGCACACGCGATGCAAGATCAATAGTGGGGCCACTGCCCACAGACTGACCATACAAGATCAGCTGTTCATCTTTGACACCATATTGTTCTTTCAAGCATTTATAAACCGCGTTGATATCGGCATATGTATTGCATTCACTAGGCTGTCTCATTAAAAAGTGTGATTGTTATGTTTTGACCAATAGTAATATACAAAAAACAGAGATTATCTATAGACATTATGTTTCAAGTTGAACCCCATAAGCATTTTTTTTTTGGAAAAGCAGATAAAAACTAAATGCCTTTCCAACAAAGCCCCTATATAGGTGGAAGTGTGGAATAGATAATATGCTTCACAGCTTCAGATCATCTATTAATTAAATGTGTGATATATTTGTATTTTTAATTGATTATCAAAATTTGATTGATACTTTTGATCAGTGATGTTAGGTGCGTGAAATTGTTTTTTTTAACCCGGTAGGGAAACCACCAAAATCAGTGGGGTAAACGCCGGGGAACGTTTACCGGATTTTATTAAAAAGGGGAAGGATACAAAAGAGAGGGGGACTAGACCAGAACCTCTCCCAGGTAGGCGCGTGAAATTGTATTTTGCTGTTTTAGTTCATCTTTATCGTACATTTTTGCTTGTATTAATTTAAATTGTTTGTAGTTATTGGTATTTTGTATATAATAAAATGTAGCTTTAATTTCAACACATGTTGTTGATCAAAATGTTTAGTAAAACATACTCCCTATCAGAATATGGACAAGAGAAATAAAGCTAAAGGAAAATATTAGAAAAGCTACACAATACAAATGACCTATGTTTCCTACTTGCGAGCTTTCATACAGATTCCCTACGGATTAAACCTTAAGAATATCTGTGGCAAAACTGAAAGAAAAATATAGAGAAAATTCATGTGTTTTTTTGGGTAGTGGTGTTAAACCAATCTACAATGGGTGTAGTTTATGAAATTTTCACTAGCATAACTGCAAGTGTTTCTAGAGCAGATAATTTGTCAATTTAAATCCTAGTACTTAAAGAGAGTACACATCTAACCTTTCCGGTTGATCGTCCATATCCAGAGTAATCATACCTAAAAGAAAATAATATATAAAGAAATCAGAAAACATGCTTCTTAAAAAAGCAACAATTTGATTATCTTATTGCAACTTCTCCAAATAATATGGGAATAGGGATATGGAGGATGCATTGCATTCTATCTCTCATACATTGGTTGAATTCCACAAGCAGATTTTAAGAAACATTCAGGGTTAAGGTGTACTAAAAGCTATTCTATTTTCCTTCTCTTCCTTCCTCCAACAGAGAGAGAATTGAAAAAGTAGTAAATCTTCCAATGCAGGCATAGGGCATGCAGCAGCTGATAAGATAAGTGATGTTTGAATGTGATAGTTATGTTCTCAAACATCTCAGGTTGTGAAAACTAGTTGCCAACAAAATTTTTATGAAGCCAGTGGTAAACATCAAAATCATGTATAGACTAATTAACAATGTTGGGATTTGTTTGAGGTTGCACAGCATGTCTTTCTCTGAGCAATGCTAAATCTTATCCATGATTTTTTCCTTTATATTAGGAATGATATTCATATAACACCTTACAAGATTGAAAAAGGCACCAAACACAACAAAATTGAGCTGGTTCGGACGATTAGGCTTTTCAGCTCAAAAATTTTATTCTCCTTTTCATGTTTTGTTCGGATAATTTTTTTACTGCATATCCTTTTAGATACTATGCATACAATCATTCATTTTAACAAAATAAACTATCACACTTTTAATTCATCTTATCCAGGCAACTCAACCATTTCAGCTATCACCAAACAGGCTGTATATATCACCTTTTTTTATCATTAATTACAAAATTACAAAAATGTCATATATAGCAACAAAAACCCATGGCTAGATTTTAGCAAGGATAATGTTGAACTTCCTAATAGCCAACTGAAATTAAAAAAGATCGATTTTTTTTCTAAGACGGTAAGACCATGAGAAAGATGAAATCACTTCGTTTAAATCCAAATATTTCATAAGTAACTGCATGTGCAAAAATAAAGCTTGAAAGACTGATCAAATTGGAAACTAGCAAATATAAACTTGATTTAATTTTGAGTTGCACATCATGTCAATTTCCAGAGCAAAACTAATTTACTGAACTACTAGGAAATAGGAATGCATTTAATATCAGATTTTGAACATTAATATCACCCCTCCACAGTTTAACATGAGAAAAATGCCCTTTCTAGGCCGAAAGATTTAATGATCTTGGACAGTCAGCTGAAGTAAAACAAAAAAGTCAAATCTTTTTGCTCTATCCATGAGAATAAATAGTCGTATTAATGAAATCCAAATATCTTAAGTTAAACAGGATATATGGAAATAAAGCTCGAAAAGACTGATAAACTTGGATATGAACTAACATTAAGTTGAGAAATTTACCCAATTAGATTGATACGAAGCCGGAGGCTCAACTCAACAAAGAGTTCGAACATCTGCCCCAAATCGGCGGCATTACCGTGAGAGTAGAGCATGGTAGCTGACGCCTTTGGATGCTTCACATGGACGGCCACGATCTCGTTCCCCTTTCGGGTTCGCAACTTCAGGACATCCACTGCATCCCTCGCCGGAACCTCCGGTATGTGGAGTTTCCCGGCGCCGGATTCGTCGGGGACCACCGTGTACGACGGAGGATTCGGTGGGAAGAAGGCAAACTTAGAGGCAATGGATGACGTCACTCCACCCATTTGATTTTAGGTCTCAGCTCGAGCATTGGATTGAAATCATGCTAAAGGTGAGTTAAAGTCCCTACTTTCCCTTTGGGTTCTTCCTCCTCACCTTTGCTTTTTCTTCTTTTTCCCTTCTTCTTTACCGCAGATCCCCCCTTTTCACCTTTTTAGAAAACTGAAAATAGAAACTGAAGATAAGGTAGCAGAGAAGTGTGGGTGGGTGACGGCGCGTGGAGAGGCAATGAGGAGGCAGCGGCGCGTGTGGATAAAGATTAGAAGGTCAGACCAGATAATTTAATCAAAGAAAAAAAAGGAAATATATGAAGAAGATAATCAGATATCATGGGACGTTGGAATTTCACATTTTTGTAATTTTTGTATGTGTTTCCGAGTGGATGTTTTTTTCCACTGACGGCGACTATTTTAGGATGAGAGTCTTTGGAAATGAAACAGAATGATTAATTAGTAGACAACCATTATGAAAAGAAAATTACGGAGTAGAATTTATATGTAAACCCTCTTGGGAAAGACATTTTTTTTGACATTAGTCCTTTGTTTATTGTTTGTAAGAAAATTAGTCCTTTGTTACCTTAATCCTTTGTGATTTAAAAATTATGTCGCATCTCACGTTTTAATTAAGGGAAAATAAATATTTTATTTTTTGAAGGGATGTAAAGTAATTACTCAAATTTGCATATGTGAGATGTATTCCAAACTTAAATTAAAGAAAAATATTAGCATTATAAATCATATTAAATATTCTGTATGTTTTTTCTTTGTGAGCATATATGAGGATGCAGTTACAGCTTTCACTTATGAAATAAACAGTATGGGGTATTACATTTGATCTATATAGTTGAAAGGATTTTAATTGGGATAAAGGTCAGTTTGGTCCTCGAAGTTTGCAAAAAAAGGGTCAAATAAGTCCTTATATAGAAGTTTCTGTCCGGACGTGCCATTTGAGGTGGCTCCCGGTGGAATTTTTTGATGAAATTTTTTGAGCATCTTATTCATTAAGTCTAGTTTACTCATACCAAATTTCAGATAAAAATTCAATGGGGAAGACATTCAAATGAATTCTTGAAGATAACTGTGCTGTTAAAAGCGTTGTTATCTTCAAGAATTCATTTACATATGTGATAGAAAATTGTCATAGACTCATAGTGTTAACAACTCTTTTTATATAAGGTTTGATGTATTTATATTACATATCCAAGTTTGAATTATATAACTCAACACTCCCAACGTTTGGGATAATTAAAGTATTTTTCCCTTTAATTAATCATGACATACCTCTATAAATTAAAGAAAGAAATTTAGCAATTTGAAATCATGTGTCTTTATCACAAAGAAGAGGAGGAGGAGATCGTTTAACCCATCCTCTACTTTTAACCCCCTTCATCTCCTTTTCCACATTTAACCCGCTATTTAACTCACCACTGCACTAAAGTAGGAGGGTTGATCCTAATATATGGGCAGGCTGTGTGGCTGCCCAGGGACGACCACCAGGAAGAGGGACTCATAAATTATTTAGTAGTGGTAGTGTGTGTCTATATATATATATATATATATATATATATATATATATATATATATATATATATTGAGTCTCGTTCACCTCAGGCACACTTAATCAGAAGTACTGTACGACCAAACCAATTCTAGGTGCTTTCGGATGAAATTGCTTGATCAAAGTTTGTGATTATGTTTTTCATTAAGTGTAGATTACGTCCACAAAATTTCTGCTTAAAGCGCATTATTGAAAAACAATGCGCTTCATATTTGTTTGAAAAACGTAGTGTTTTTCAATAAGTTATTTAACTAAATTCCCAAGCGAATTCGTTTTTTTTTTTGTAAATAATCTAATCTTTATGAAGAACAAACTCACAAAATTTTATAAAAATATCCAACCTCGAAGCTTCTCAAATGGATTTCTCTATACGTGACATCTTATCTGTAGACTTAGCCACAATGGCAGAGCTACACACGAAACATGATTAGATGGCTTTCTACCTTCATCACAGAAGTCGAGAATTAAAAAGTTGTAGTATTATTGATAATTTTGCTTTTGAGAATGCCTAAAAAATTGTTTTGTACTACCTCCGTAATATTTATATCTTCCCTTTTAAAAGTAGGTGAGATTAAAGATAGTACAATGAGATATAAATTATTGATGGTATGATAGGAAGATAATGAAAAAGTGTGCTGAAATGAAGGATTAATAAAAAAATAGTTGTAATAATGTATTATTTTCAAAATTGCTGAGGGTATGATGAGAAGATTTAGAAATAAGGGTATGAAAGTGGGAAGATACGTATCAGAGGGAGTATGACTAATGATACCAGCAGTTCTATGGACAAAAACATTTACTTGTGTATCATTTTTTTTACAATGAAACTTTTTAATACTGTTAAGACACGAGGTTCCATCCTAAAAGGTCAACCTAATAGGAGGAGTAGTCCACATCTTAATATAGCACTTTGTTGATTCAAACATTTCCGTTGTGGGATTCTAACACCTCTCCCCACGACCAGACATTTCGTCTGGATCGTGCCGTCATTCAATTTTTTCGTCGGTTCTTTATTGTCATTTTTCCATAATCGTGTCGTCATTTTTCATAAGAGGGCCCACACCATGGATCGAATTGGTTCTGATACCATGTTAAGACACAAGGTTCCATCCTAAAAGGTCAACCTAATAGGATGAGTGACCCACATCTTAATATAACACTTTGTTGATTCAAACATTTCCGGTGTGGGATTCTAACAAATACGGACTACGGAATACACATTATGACATATATAATTAGGGGCCTAGGTTTTGTATTTTGTTCTGGGCTATAAATTGTCCGGTCCGACCATGTAAATTAGGAGTCCAAAATTTTGAATTTTAATATTTTGAGCTCAGTACAAATAGTCTAATGTCATGCGAATATGGTCCAGGTCTTGGACCACCATAAAGAATACACAAAAGGGCAAATTTGGTGGGGCAAATTTGGTCACCTTTCCAAAGGACATCTAAAGAAAGGGCGAAGGTACACAGTCAAGAGGTGCAATCATATTATTCCATTTCATGCAAACTTCCATATTTTTATTTAGTCCATTATTACACGGATAATAATAAATGCCGCCCTACCCACCCCCCCATGCCTGCTAATTAGGTTACACTTCCCATTGCTTATCATGTGCCTGTGCCTAAATTACCAATTCTTACCATCACCACTGCACTTTCAATAAACAAGGAGCTATTTACCGTAAAAGAACGTTTTCCCTCCAAGCAAATATGTAATCACAAAAGCTAATTTGAAATGTTAAAAACATGGCCGTAAGACCGTATCAAGAAGCCTATATAAGACCATTTTTCATTATCCAATCGGTCTTGATCTAATATGCATATTGTATTCTTTTTTTTTTTCTAGTTTGCATTCTAGAGTTTACTAATGCATGTCCAATAATGTTTTAAGAAAACTAATGTTTAATTGTCCTAGGATTCAACCAAAATATAATCTAAAAATATATATGATGTTACTATTATTTTGTGATGCTACTATTATTTTACATTACTAATTACAGATTTAGTGTAGAATTAATTAAAGTCGTTCCATCCGTCATCCTTGGTTGCAAAGCTTTGATTCATTCGAGGAAAAGCCCCACTGTCTCGTTTGTCTACGTTCATGTGTCTCGGTGGACGTAGATCAACTGGTGGGTAGAGTGTCATAAGTGGTAAATCTTGAGTTCGAATCCCGACAACCGCCATGCGAAGTTACTATGTAAAAACACACAATGTATCTGCAAGTACTTGAATCGGGGCCCCTTTCACTATATGTGACTCTATGATTAAAGTCCAATTTTATATTCTCCCGGAGTCATCCTTTTTCTAGATGCTCGTGTAGTCGTGTGTCTAATAATAATATCTAAATCACTTGGTTGATTCTTAAGTACTTTGGTTTCTTGCTTTATTTTCTTAAAACAATATCAGTTGGTTAATCGTGTCGGGTAGTCATAGTGTTTTAATTTGGAAAAGAAAAAAAAGTGCGAAAATTAGCTTCTAAGATAATGCTCTATTGAGGTTAAAATGTTGGGCTTGGATGGGTTATGAAATATTAGGCCATGGACCGAATTAGATTTATAATACTTCGTACTATACTCGATGCTCGTCCCTTCAATTAAACGGTTGAGCTGGCTTCTGATCCATATAGGCTGGGCTAGGCTTCTTAGCAAATGGATTAGAGCACCCTACATGGTCATTAGCCCATGGGTGAATTGATAATTGTACCATGAAAGTATGATAGAATTTGCATTTATAAAAAAATAGCACAATTATTAATGAAATAGAAAAAATTATATGAAAAAATAACTAAAATAATCTTCCACAGTAATTACAGTGAATTTAGCCTAAATGATAGGACTAAAATGTCCGCATGCATTTGGTTGAGGTAGTTGGGAGCAGTTTGGTGGGCCAAGGCAAAAACTAAAATTCCATTTATTAAAAATGTTTTAACTTTTTTTTATTTTTACTCCATTTTTTACAAAAAAATATATCAAATTCATAGTATTTTAGAATCTTTCATAGCGAGAGTTTCATCAATTTTAACCAATTTAACAAATTTAAGTATTACAAAACGCACTCTTAATTTTTTTTGAAAACAAATAACTTAATCATTATTGATAAATGTGAGAAGAAACTAGTACAATCATAAGACGGAGGATTGGTTTGCAACTCATTTTAAAAAACACTTATCAGTTTTTGTCTTTAAAAAAACACTTATCTTCCCAAACACTATAATTTTTATTTTTCTCGACTTCCGCGTCAAAAGTGCTTTTACTTTTTCTATTACACAAAAAACACTTATTTTACCAAACATTACTCACTTTTATTTTTCAAAATCACTTTTTTCTCAAACACTATCAACTTTTATTTAATCACTTCTCCTCATTTTATTAAAAAAAACATTTTTTAAAAACAGAAGCGGTTGCAAACAGACCCTGAATTGCAACAAGAAAAGCTATTCAGAAGACTCTCAATCAGAATTGATATCGGCCTTCGAAATCTTAGCTTCAACCCTCTTCTTCTCGTCAGTTTGTTCTCATCTAGATTCTTTTTTGCCTTTTAGTGCTTAGCTTCTCAAAGGCTTCGGTCTCTCTTACCTGCAAATAGAAAAACCAAGTCCTACAATCTTGCCGGCCATAAGGTAAAAGGATATGAGGATGCGATTTCCAGGAGCAAGGCCTCGATTAAGAAATTTTCAGATGCTATAGGTGTACTAGCTTCCAATCAAATCTAAATTGGAGGCATAATTGACCGATTCCATGCTTTCCGGTGAAGTGGTGAATGCCGGTTCAATGTGACCGAGTGACTGGCATCACAGCCTTTAGTGCGACTCGTCTTCTCCACCACTGGTCTTCTTTCACTTTCACTCGGAATGCTTTTCTTTTTGAAAAGAGGTAATTTGGATATTTAAATTATTT